AAAACTCCTGAGCACGCCTCTGCCTGCGAAGACGCCGACGCATATACGCACTATACTGAATTAAAATATCGAAAATATCAGTTTTCCTGCTTGTCTAGTCGTCTCGAGTGCGTCACGTTGAAGTATAAATCTACAGAGTTGTCCAGTGAGGATATACCTATTAACCGTAGTGGAGGGGAACTCGCCGCCCGGATGAAAACCAGTTTTTTGCCGTTTATCTATAAACTAAAAAAAAAATATTAAAAATCGTGAGATTAATGAAAATAACATTTTAAGAGGCCAAAATTTTCAGCAAAATAAACTCTACGAAAAGGACACGTAGCTTTATTTTTTTACCGAAAAATTAAATAAAATTAAATACATGTAGTCCTTGTTTATGTGACTCTAATAAAAAAAACAAATTTATGATATATTAATGGTCTCAGGAGATATCGCAATGGCTAAATCCTCGCGGGACACCCTTTATAGCCGATCATATATATGATAATTTATATTATTATACTCAGTACTCACTAGCTGTCTTGCCGAATTATGTAATTTTCTACGTACTTTAGTCTTAAACATTTATTTATTAAATTTTTTGTAACCGTTATCTAAAAATTTCACATAAACATGGATTATGAGACTATACAGTATATGTAGAATACATTATGTTTTAAAGGCATCGAATATTTTTATGAACACGGTAATGAAATACTGTCGTTTGAACCTAACTGAAACATTTTTTTTTATTCCAGGAATATTATTCTTTATTAATATTTAAATAAAAATTTTCATATTGTTTACTATTTGTTTGACGTATAAAGATTTCTTTATGATTTCTTTAGTACGTTTTAGTTGATATAATTATCATATTTGCACGTACAACAGATAGCCACTAAAACGCGTAAGAACAATTAATAAAATTATAACATTATATTACATTGGATTATAATTCACAACATAGGAAAATCGAACCATACTTAGGTAATATATAAATTACACATTTAAAAATCCGATTGTCTTTTATTTGTCACACAAATTAATAATTATAAAGCAAAGACAAAAGCATCTATATTATATAATATGGCAGCACATTGTATTTTTCAGCGATACCATTAGTCACACCATCGTTAGTAAACCTACACATACTAATTATCACCGTGTATGTAGCCACCTAGGTCTCCTGCAAGGTGCAGTACTCACTAAACAGGACTAATGATGAGAAATAAAAAATCAATATATTATGTTATAAATTAAAATATCATTAGACATGACGTATTTATAATTTTGTATACCTTGGTAAGTGATGTAGACCATTTTTCGACCACCACAAAAATGTTTAAAATTATACTTCTTCGTATATATTACAGAACATGATATAATT